CGCGAGAGCTAAGTAAACGCAAAGTGTTTGCTTGTCACAACGTCTGTGACATCCGTCCGTACGGCGAGGTAATTCCTGTCACATGCGCTGTGACATCCGTCCGCAATGAGTTAAGTACATGTACACACTACTAAGCTGCTACATGTCATCATGGGCTGGCTACATCAGTAGGTTAGCAATGGTAGATCCTTGCTCACACTGTGCACATATTGATGTCTGAATGGTGTGGGGGAGGAGCAGTATATTAACATTTTCTTACTCGGCAGGCTGTGCCTCAGCAGGTCACCTGCAATGCTTTTCTACGCAGCCTTGTCCCATGCAAGGTGTATATGCGGATGAATTACACTAAACACTAAACCGCAGAGTGGGTGTAGTGTAACCCGTTTGTACCGCAGAGTGTACTGGTGAAAACCAGTCTGGCTGGTTTAGAGCAGGTCGCGCAGTAAGTGCACTGAGCTGTCGCGTGGGTGCGAGCGGAAAAAGATGGACACCGGGAAAGATTACGACAACCTTTTCAACATACTCATTCAATATGTGGTATATACTTGGGGAGATGAACTACCAGAGGTCAATCAGCTCAATTCTCTCTGTTTCTTTTCCTGTCTGATTTCGAGACTTTGAGGAGGCTGGACTGGAAATCCCATCTTCATCCACCTCCCTCAGTTACGCCGGCCAAACACGTAAAAGTGATCATAGTACGAAGAGCATGCATTTTAAACACTTCTATTCATGTTGCAGCTAGATCAAGATTCAAAAAAGTTTAGCTACAACGTCTTACGACTTAGGGCTAAGGCTAGGGGACTCTCCCTGGACTTATGCCTGGCTACGCTTGACCCACGAGCGGCATGACCTCCAAGACCACTTCGTGTGACTCTACAGGCAACACTCATCCCGCGCGAGTGCTAAAAGTGAAGGTGCCGTTCTTGCCAAATGATCCCTTTTTCTTTATCCCAAGTCCGGAAAGGAGGGAGAGGAGTGAGAGGAGAGAGAGGTGGGAGAGGAGGAAGAGGCTTGGAGCAGCGGGAGAGGCTTGGAGAGGAGGCATTGTTCTCCCCTTACATGTGTACTACTGACTGTCGTGACTGAGTTAGCCAGCCAGCCACACGGCTATGAATATATAACCACGGATTAGGGTCTGTGTGGATGGGGGATGTGGGTACGTAGCTGTGTCTGTCGGTCCACAGTTTTCCTCGGTAACGTTTAAAGGTGAAATGTGGATACCACTGTAGGTATTAGCTATCCTAGATACAGCAAGATTCTGGAGCCGAGACGACCGCAGAAGATGGCTTCGCCGCGCCGGCTGACTGGTGACCACGATTATAGGTGTGCTGCTCTCGCCAGTCAGTGCAGGCTACAGCAAGGAATAAAGGATGTTGCCAGTTCTGCATGCTTTTGTACGATGGAGACAGGGGTATGAAAAGAGTGATAACACCAGTTAATATGTCTGGTATGGGAAGCACCCCCTCAACCCTGGCGTAATAAACGATCGACAAACTGCTCCTCACAGGCTGTGTGTGGTGGTGTGGTGAAGTCAGAATTACAAGAACCTAGCAGTCCAGGTGTTTCATCCAGTAATAGTCCTCCTGGAAGTGGAAGAAGGCAGAGAAAGAGCTTTCGAAGGGATGGAAAAAGAAGGGAAAAAAAGAGAAGAAAGCCACCACAAACAGAAAAAGAGTGGGGGCTTAACCTGTGGAGGAAAGTGACATTGATTTCAAAAATGATGATAAAATGTGCTGTGATGCATGCATTCGAAGGTAGCTGGTTGCCTGTCTCGACCTAACAAAAATACCTGTGGACTTCTTTTGCTCTGACAGTCAGTAGAGTTGCCCCCCTCTTCCTATTATACTTATGTACTGATCTCATATTTCTTGCTGTGTAGGTCTTGGTCCATACTTTACTTGTCTCTTCTTTTTTCTGAGTTGTAAGTTTCATGTTTCATGCTTGAGTAAGTCCTGATCTTGTCCATTTGCATTGCTCTGTCTCATGATACATTTACACGTCCCATGATGCATTCTGTACACATGCTTTTAATTAACCCTCGGCGCGCATGCGCAGCGAGGGTTACAGTAGTTGGGTCTGTCTGTCTGTCTGTCTGTGTGTCTGTTACTCTTCATCTCACTTCTCGAGTGTTCTTTCGTCTCACAAAGGATACCACCTACCGAACGGGCAATGAAGGTCAGAAATTTCGAACGGTTTTCTCTGAAAACGCTCCGATGCAAAGCTAGAGCACTTCCACCATTGTACGGCTAATGCGTAGTCGGCCAAGTTTATCGCTGCGGAAAATGCGCATGCGCATTATATTCGACCATATAATGGAAAGCGGCCATGGTGGAAAGCGGCCATTTTGTTTCTCGTTCGGTGAGAAGACGTTCTCCAGTTCCGTCAGTTGCTATTTTACTATCATGCCTCCAAGTAAGGTATGCCCACAGTGTGAAACTATTGTACCACTAAGGCTGAAAGTGTGTAAATCTTGCCAACATGTCTTTCATGCCAAGAGAAAAGCAGAGCATAATTTGCCAGACAAAGCCATGAAACGCATGCGAGTCTTACAGTCAGATATAGTGTCAAATCAACTATGAAGGCTAAAGATAATTTTGCAGAAGGCCAGTAAAAGAGCGTCAGAAACTAGCGAGCAAACTGTGCATAGACAACAGCAGAATAGAAAGCACATGGCAAGCATGAGAGCAACTGAAACTAGCGACCAAACTGTGCATAGCCGAGAAAAAGACAGAAACCACAAAGCAAGCATGACAGCAAGTGAAGCCAGCGAGCAAACTGTGCATAGACGAGAAAAAGACAGAAACCACAAAGCAAGCATGAGAGCAACTAAAAAAGCAAGTGATGTGTCTGTACAACAAGCTATTATGTCATTTCATTCTGATATCAAGAATGGACCTGATTTTGTTTGCTCATGTTGTCACCGTCTGATGTATAGCAAGAGTGTTGTTCCATGTAACCTAGCTAAATATACCAAGTGCAGCAACAACTTGCTACAATGTGTGTTCAGTGCTGCCTCAGACATGTTAGTGATACTGGCAATGAGTGGGTGTGTAAGACATGTGACAGAGCATTGAAGCGAGGAATAATGCCATTGCAAGCTAAAGCTAACGGGTTACAGTTGTCTCAAATACCACCTGAGCTATCTCATCTAAATGTATTGGAACTAAGGCTTATTTTGTCTACGTGTGCCTTTCATGAAAATGGTAGCATTGCCATCTGGTAAAACAGAGATCAATACATGGCCCAGCTGTCAATGTTCCTTCCAAAGTTGATACCATTTGTAACATGTTGCCAAGATTGCCATCACAGTCTGAATTAGTGCCACTGAAACTGAAGCGTAAACTAGCTTACCTAGGCAATTACAATTATGTATAACTACATAACTCCTCAAAAACTGCTAGTTGCATTGACATTCTTGAAAGCCAATCCATTGTATGCTGATATTGCGGAGTGGCTAGAAGCAGCTATGGCTAATGATGCTGAGCTTTGTGAGTGTTTGGTTGAACAGCAAAATGATAGTGATGAGCAGCCAAATGATGCTATTCAGCCTATTGTTGATTCGAAAAACAGTGTTGCATCCCCTAATCCTCCTATTGAGATCGTGATGGATAGTGATGATGCTCTCTTAACAGCTGTGCATAAGCTAGAAACAATAGCCAGTCAAAATGGTTTCACTATCCATGATGTGCCATAATGGTAACTGTATGTTCAGTGCTATTGCATATCAGCTAAACAGTACTAGCATATGTGATTTTGACAGCAATACATTAAGACAGACTACTTGGGAGCTAACAGAGCCTCATATTGTGATTTTTTGTGTCCGCCAGTAGCTCAAAAATGCAGACTCTAATGATGACTATAATGCAGACACTGAACCTCAAACACAAGAGGACAAGTATATTGACAGTATTGCACACCCTGAATTGCTTAGATGGCAAAAATAAAACAAGGTGCCTGGGGTGACAACATTGCTATGCAGATGCTACCAATGTACTGTCTAGCCACTATCCCACCACCCAGAAAACATTGTGCTGATAATGAAGTGTTCTCTTGCCAGCTCGCGCAGAGTCTGACACGGGCTAACTAGATAGCATACGAGAGGCAATACACGCCCTGCGTTGCATCTTCTGGTGCCTCCGAGGTACGCATAGCACGCGGATCGATCAGACCGTGGTAAGCCTTCCCGTCCGTTGTGTATTTGCATATTGGCTTTTTCGCGCTTTAGCTCTGCAACGGAGCATTTTCAGAGAAAACCCCACATATTTTCTGATCTTCGTTGCCCGTTAAGCAGGTCGTATCCTTTGTGAGACGAACAGACACTCGAGAAGTGAGATTGAGAGTAACAGACAGACAGACAGACCTAACTACAGTCCCCTCGCTGCGCATGCGCGCCGAGGGTAATTACCACTAACACGGTTGATTGGTTAGCCATAGTTCTCAAATACCAGTGGCAAAGGAAAATAGCATAGGCTTTTCCCGTAAGGCTACAAATACATCCCTTCTTTGCAAGAAATGGCTGGTGGCTTCTTCTTGCTCTAGCTTCAGCGTACTGATGCCAAGTGCACTGGCTGCATCGTAACTGATAGGCTCGAAATCTGCAGGAACCTGGTGGCACTGACCGGAAACAGAGACTATTACTAGAAGAGTGTACAGAAGTAGAGACAGATTCTGTGTCTCCAACAGTTTGGTACGAGAAGAGCAACTTTCACACTCTAACGCAAATGTTGCTACTAGCTGACCAGATGCGTTCAGCCCTAAAGTGCAGGCGGTATACGTGACATGGAAAAATTCCTGCAATCTCATTGGTCTTGCAGGAATTCATGCAATAGGGAACAAGTCGATGTACAGCAGTTCACCAGGCCTTCTCCCGCGCCCGGGTTGAGAAGGTGTGGCCCCGTGAGGCTAGCCAGTGCAGTACTGAGGGCGGTGATGATTCAGCACAACCAAAGATCGCTCATTTGACACTACAAATGGTACGGAAAACTCTACATAGCCAGTACCTGACAATTCCCTCAACAAGGGGGTTTGAAGGACAGTCATTCTTCAGATAGTCCTGGATCATCACACTGAGATCTGCTGTACTAGTTGGTTCCTCAACATAGAGCTCAGTAAATCTGCAAACAAGGACAAACATGAAACAATCAGGGAATAAAAAAGAGGCGGGTTTAAACTGAAATAGCAAAGCCGTTTGCAGTTGGCAGTCATTACACCTACACATGTAACTGCATATGCGAGCACTTACAAACCTACAAACCGCAACGTAGCGGTTCCATACACAAATCCAATTTTAGACTACGTATGCAACTATAACCTTTCCCAGTCTCAACAACAAGCATAAGAATAACAGGTTGTCAAGTACCTATCAGCAGCAGTGAAAACTTCATAATACTACATCCTACGATGACTTGGTGTGACAGGGCCGCACATCAACAAGCTTCCTCCTCCAACAACCATGTGCAACAACAAAGAAATCACACTAACATTAATAATAATAAATGAGCGGCCACAACAAAACGGTCCACTACCTGACCCCTCACATGAGCTGTCTGTGGATCTGATAACACAGAACAATGTCCACTACAATGGGTGGGCACCAACCAAGAGTCTTCAAGGAGGAGAGGCTGAGACGTGACAAAAATAGCTGTCTTCGCCGACTCCCAAAAAAAGCAACAGATGTTGTGCCAGGGTACCACACGAAATGCATGAAAATAATGACAGAACAGTTATCACGCCCCATAAGGGACAGAGGAATACCAACGCTATGCAAGGGTATCCCCCAAGCCGAACGCACTCGGCCTCTCGCTCTACTGCAGAATGACGGCAAGGGAAGTATATAAAATAGTGCTGCCTCCGCCAGTCTGCCATGAGGTGTGATACGCTGTCACACACTGAGCAGACGGCGACCAGACGCGCCCTCCTGGTAAAGAAACGGGTGAAGAGGTCGGTGTCGAAGCAAGACCAGGTATGACTTCCCATTACTGCAGCCATCAGCGGGTAAATGGTGTCGTAGGCCCTCCAATATAAGACGATGTACTGTTGGCTGGCCTGACCCTGTAAGCCAGCAGCACGAGTGTGGCTAAGGGGTTGTTGGCTCAGGAGGAGGATTGGGGGATGAGACAACACTTAACGAGGTCATAGTTAGAGAGGGAAGCCACGTGGCTCGTATCCTGTGGAGACAGAACACTCACTTCTTCCTTTTCAAACCCTCTCTCACTTCAAGCCACCATATCAAATATCAGTGACGTGTTCTTTGTAGAATAGGCGTACAACCCTTAACCCTCAGGACACCTGTTGCTGCACGGCAATGTAGACCAGGCCACCGCAGTGGCTGTTGTTCGCCCGGTGCAGCAGGCTGAAGAAGGCTTCTCCGTCACATTCTTATGTAGCGGTGGACCTCCCTACGCCATCTTTGGGCCAGGAGGGGTGGCCGGAGCCGGGGTGGCCGGAGCCGGCGTCACCCATAGCCCACTAGATACGCCCCCCTCTCCTACCTCACCTTAGCCTCTTATAGATTGCACCCATTTTCATGACTATCTTTTCTTCTTCATTGTGTTCTGTGGCAGTGAGAACGATCACCAAAAAGTACTCGCAACCGGGAAATAGAGAGAACCGAGCAGTGGGGGTAACAGATGACGAGGAGGGATTAGCAGGAGGAAGGAGCACAGAAAACTTCACAATCTCCCAACTGCAGACTTTGTCTATGTAGGAGGCTTCTTTGGTATACACGGCAGACAATTGCCATTATGTATATACCTGCTCTGCCCAACCCGGACATATGACGGGGAAGAAGAGACTGCAGCACCCAAGTGAAGACGCTATCGCAGGATGCGGGAGGTGGTAATGGAATTGGCCAGCAAGGCGCCAGTGGTGACCGGGACCGATGTGGCAAAGGTTGCCACCGGAAGGCTGGGCATAGTAAGGGATACATGCCCAAACATTGGCACTGGAGCAGAGGCAGTAACTGGAAGGCTGGGTGATGGTAGGTGCCCCTACGACGTAGAAGCTGAAAATGAGGAGGAATGGGAGGCATTACAAGGTGGCTGTGGACACTTCCCAGCAATAGCTCGTGTGCTGCAGCCGAGCCTGCGCTCGACGGACATAGTGACACATGAGCCTGCCACCCTTTGAGCCTCTAGCCTGTTGCAGCAGCTTTGACAGACCCTAAGAGAGGCACAGAATATAAAGGAGACCAACCAAAGACACTGTACGGTGCTAAGCTTGAAAGCATCAAGTAACTGCTGCAAGCTAGAACACGGTGTAAGTGCCGGGAGAGCCTGCCAGCGCAGCAACACAAAGCAGACACAAAACCCATTTACGTATCCAGGAATAACTCTTAGCTACTGTTGTATGGTCTAGACGGTCTGCATGGTTTATTCCTACTGATTGGAATAGCCTTTAGCTTGTCGGCTCGCCTTGTGCTTATCCTGATACTTCAGAAGCTGCCTGCTCATAGAGTGCCACAGCCTTGCGATCTTTCTACTTTTAGCAAAGACATACAAAAAGTGCAAAGTTACGTGTTCCTTAAATAAGTTTACCCAATTCAGCTGGATAGTGTACTTGTAGTGGTTTATGAAAAGGGTGTTGGTCCAGTGTATACCTATTTCTTATATTCTCAGGTAGTGATTTCTTTCCAACATCAGTTGAAGGGTTCATACAGCAAAATAGCCTGAAGTCAGGGTGACGCGTCACTGGCTCTGAGTCCCTGGGGTGCAAAACAATATCAGTTAGTTTAAAAAATTCAATGTATTTTTCTGCCAAAGGTGTTTAAATTGTTAACAGACATTACTGTGGGTGACACCGAACATAAAGACTATTCTTACACATTCCGTTACGCCAAATGAGGAATAAATATAACTGACAAAACCAGGTTAACTTACGGTTTCTCCATGAAGAGCAAAGAATTGCTGTGTGCCTCCAAAATCGCAGACAGACACTGCAATGACTCTGCAGATGCTAAGTTGACCTCATCTAGGAGAATCCACCACCCCTCCTTCACTGCTTCCACAAGAGCACCCTAGGAAAATGTCCAACGTAGTTGAAGAAACACACTTTTTATGAACTCACTTCATCAAAGGTGAAAGCAAATGTCTGTGATTTGAGAAGTTGCTGTCGCAATTTCTTCAGTTTCAGTCCTAACTTCCCCCACTTAGCATACAAATTCTTGTCTGATCCTGCAGAGAGAAAAGGAAGCATCTACTCCATGCAAAAATGTGGAGTGAAACAAGCAAACAGAGCCTTCAGCATTACATGCCCATTTAAAGACCAACGTGAAACACTTTCCCCTCTGATATGGTACAAAAACTCACTTTTTGTTCTTTTGTGTGCCGACTCAACAGAATGCACCATGAGCTTAAGAAGCTTTATCCACTGTTTTTTAGTCACACAGGTCTGAAGTACAAATAAATGCAGGTTCCCATTCACTAGAGAAAACCATTACTAACAAACCTGAACACTAGCTAAGAAATGTCCATTTTGTTTCAGAGAAAACGTAGCACGAAAAAGTTCTTCAAACTCCTCCTTCAATGGAGCCACAATGTGGACCATTTGAACTGGTTTGTAGCTGAAATGTTGGGAAAGGAATGATAACAAAACCACCACAAATCATGATCACAACAAACATACACAAGTCTGCAATACAGAAAGTACATTAAAGCACTATGAGGTTTTAACACACTATCCTTACCCTCCAAGAAGATCAATGCTATCTGTCTGTTGGCTCAGATTCATTACCACCAGTTTATATCCTAGCAAAAATACAAGACATGTGAATCCACAATACACATGTACAGTGGACCTCCCTTATCTGAACACATTGGTTCCACCAAAAATGTCCTGGTTTAAGTTTGCTTGTTCAGTTTTGAGACAAATTTTATCAAACAACATGCTAGGATGTAACTCCGTCCTGAGTCTTTAAAAAAATTGTGAACGCAAGTTCACAGAAATAGCTCTCTCACATGTTCAGCAATACATAGTAAAGGAAACATTTACACACACACACACACACACACGAACGCGTTACAAAATTTGGGGTGTATGGTCAGAAGAAGTGTGCTCTAAACAACTAGAACACTTTCGTTGGAAGAAGTCAGCATTCTAAGAACCCTAATGGGAATGTGCTCCAACTTGATGTGCAAGATGGCAACTGGTCCCTCCACATATCCTTCTTCGCGAGGGGTAAGTGAATTGCGTAAGTAGTGACTATTTTCAGTACATATGAACAACCTGGGCTCTGTTTAAGCAAACGCATGAAGGCGTCCTTTTCTCTAGGCAAGCTACAGTACCACATACTCACCCAGAGGTTTCAGGGAGAGGCTGGAAGCCAACTGTCTTTACACGTATTCCACCTACACGGCTTGAATGTCTTCTTTCAAAACGTACTCTGTCTCTGCAAAAGACATCCTGGAGCTACAGGCCACTTCAAAGTGTTGTACTACAGCTAAGACTTCCTACATAGCTAGCCTCGACCAGCTGCACACCACTTTTAAGTGCGTTGTGATCACAAGCGGAACACATGGATAAGACAGTGTTGTTCTATAAAGTCACAGTGTTTGTTGTTGAAAAATAAAGAGTTGGATCGTTATCTACATGAAGAGCCATTGTGGAGTGACCACTCGTTCTCGGAGACCGTTTGTTTGACGAAAGGTTCAAAATTGATGGGTGGTCGTAGAGGAAGTATAGGCCTAAGCTAGTCTCCCATGTTAGAACTGGCCTGTAGGACCACCTCTACCTATTGAACATGATTCACAACCGCTGCGCATGTGACACTGAATCTTCTAGGACCATTTCGCTGTCTATGGGTAGATTCATTCCTCCTGCTCTAAGCTGATGCTAGAGCAGCTTTTCTCTTCACTCAAGACTTACAGGAACAATTGTAAAATCAACGGCAGAGATGTCACTGGTAAAAATCAGAAGTGTGGGAATGCACAGTTTTTCCAGTAGACTGTAATTTTTCCATGGCTGCATGATGTCACCATGCAGGTGATAAGCTACAAACGCTCAGAAACACTAACTTTTAGGGTTCATGTTTAACACTATAAGCACCGCACGCCACTTAAATGGCAAGCGCGTCATAATAATAATAATACTCAGGTGGCTGCCATAGCACTAGGGCCATAGACCACGCACCCAGAGCAATGGGCGGAACCGTTAACAAACGAACATACACCATATGAACATGAGGTGTCTGTCTCACACCTCAACTCACCCCTTCCACCAGCGACACCCAGAGACTGGGTTTGTTGTACGCGGGGACTATCGCCGTATAACCTAACCTTTCTTAGCTCCCAAACATCAAAAATAAAATCCTTAACAAGGCCAAGCACAGAACCAAATTTATCCTCCCACAGTTCACTACCCAATATAAAAGATGCTTTCCTGAAACTATCAAGCGACTGGAAATGCTTAAACCCATCATCCCCAAGCTTCCCCTGCAGGGCAACTAAGAAATTGCTCCTAAGACTACTATATGCTGGACACTCCCACAACACATGACTCACACTTTCACACTCATCATCCCACAACAGGCACTCCTTCACCCCCTCCCTCCCCCTATGCCTGCCCAGTTCCTCATTTAGCTCATGCGTGCCTGACCTGAACTTAAACATTAATCTAGACCCAGCATCACTTTTCCCTACGTCCTTGTAACGTATCAAGCCCCATATCCCCCCTAACGGCTTTATTACATGTCTTAGACGAACACCCAAGGATATGCTTAGCTCCTCCCAGCATAACGGACTCTAATGCAGCTGCCTGAGTCTTATTGGCTTCCCACACCTCAGCCCCATACTCTAAAGTTGGCCTAACCACCGCCAGCAACAACAACCTGCGAGCACTCAAATTAATATCCCTATTACTAATTACACTATGCAACTGATTAACCTTCCTTCTACCATTGTCTAACACATTCTTGATATGCACATCCCATGCACCAGTACTAGTAAAATAAAAAGCACTGAAGTGCAAACCCTTGGCGCACTGTGACACGCACGCGTAAGTAAACGCATGCGCAGTACCACTAATTGATGGGCTGGGTTTAGTTTCAGCTGTTACTCGTGGTCTCTGCCAGCTCGCGCAGTCTGACACGGCTAAACTACACTACTAGATAGCATGCGAGAGGCGACACGCCTGCGTTGCATCTTCTGGTGCCTCCGAGGTACGCAGCGCGCGCGGATCGATCAGACCGTGTAAGCCATCCCGTCCGTTGTGTATTTGCATATTGGTTTCGCGCTGTAGCTCTGCAACGGAGCATTTTCAGAGAAAACCCCACATATTTTCTGACCTTCATTGCCCGTTAAGTAGATCGTATCCTTTGTGAGATAAACAAACACCCGTGAAGTAACACACAGACAGACAGACCCAACTACTGTAACTCTCATGCGCGCCGAGGGTTAACAACACCCAAGTATGTGTATTTAGATACTCTAGGCAAAACATACTCCCCCCATTTCCAAGCACCATCCACTGACTCCCTAGCGAACACCATCACTGCACTCTTACTCACATTAGCCTTTAACCTCCATTAAATTTCGGCAATACTACGCGGCGCGCAAAGTGATAAAGAGAGCAGAAAATGGAGCATCGTAAAGATCACTTTCTTAAGAATGCTGTATCTTTATTTGACAATTCAGTACGGGAAGCCCTGGAAGATGTTACTGGAGGCCTTCTGTCCGATTGGGCATGGTAGAAGGCAAATATTCCCCGCTCTCTAGGGGGGCTGAACCTTCGGTCCGCTGTTCTGTATGCAACTGCAGCATACATCAGCTCCATCACGGAAACCCTTGATCTTGTCTCCCTAATTCAGGGCTACACTCGACACCCCACTTTCTCTGCCCTCTGCCATTTCCTTCCTAGCCAAGTCAGCCCCAATGTCTTCCTGGCGCTTTATACAAGACATCCATGTGCCTCTTCATCAGAAATCTCTCTCCCATCTGATTGATGAGGCCTGCTTTAACACTCTGTTTGAATCCGTGCCTCATGTTAGGTCCAAAGCTCTCACCCTTTCCTCCTCCCTGCCCCATGCCATGCGGGGGACTGGTTGAACGTTTACGGTTTGTCTATCGTATTCTTCTTCTCTTCTTATACTTTTCATAGTTTGTTTGGATGACTTTCGTGCGGTAATCCATTCAGTGCTTTACCGTACAAAAATAAAGTAACATACGCATTATTTTTTCGCAGAAAACCAGCTACGTATTTCCAAGTTCGATAAGCTTTTCACCCCTAGCCACAGGTCTTCCGAGATTTTTCCACAATCACCGGTTCGTTCTCCACCTCCATTTAAAGAAGCTTGAAACTGCCCATAGCTAGATCACTTGGTTTCGGGCGCAATTTGACTTGATACTCTATTAAAATTTGTTCGGTGGTTCGACTATAAAAGCAAGGTGTGAAAGAAAATACATTTTTAGGAGAGAATAGAGTTCAAGAAGCTTGGAGTCTGGAAAGCAGCCTTCATCGACGAATAATTATGTTCAAGGTTCAGTATCAGTATAGTCGAACCACCAAGAACCTGCACTGAAGTGGTTCAAGAAGGTTCGAGGAGGTTCGATGCAGTTGAACCACTCCGAACAAGAGTACAAGTACCCTACTACACACCTCGTTCGCCTTGCGAATATGTTTATAGAGAAGGTTCAGTATAGCCGAACAGTCCAGAACTCATGTGAATGATCCCTACACACTTTGTTTCTCCACACTGAAGTGGTTCAAGAAGGTTCAAGGAGGTTCGATGTAGTTGAACCACTCCGAACTAGAGTACAAGCATCCTAAACAGCCCGTTCCCCTTGTGAATATGTTCTTAGAGAAGGTTCAGTATAGTCAAACCACCAAAAACTCTTGCGAAATACCCCTACACATCTTTCCTTCTCTGCACTGAAGTGGTTCGAGGAGGTTCAATGCAGTTGAACCACTCCGAACTAGAGTAAAAGTATCCTACACACCTTGTTCCCCTTGTGAATATGTTCATAGAGAAGGTTCATTATAGTCGAACCGCTCTGAACTCACGTGAAAGAGACCCTACACCTTTCTTTCTCCGCACTAAAGTGGTTCAGGAAGGTTCGAGGAGGTTATTTCCCCTTGTGATTATGTTCATAGAGAAGGTTCAGTATAGTCCAACCACCTACACACCTTGCTTTCTCCGCACTGAAGTGGTTCAAGAAGGTTCGAGGAGGTTCGATGCAGTTTAACCACTCCGAACTAGAGTACAAGTATCCTACACACCTCGTTCCCCTTGCGAATATGTTCATAGAGAAGGTTCAGTATACTTGAACCACCCAGATATCATATAAATGACCCCTACACACCTTGCTTCCTCTGCACCTAAGTGGTTCAAGAACAGGAGCTGCAGAGAAGAAGAATTCTTGTCTCTACCAACACAGTTAGTTCAGCCCCTTCGAACTACTACAGAACTCTCCATCAGAGGGAGTTCAGTAGCTATTATCTTCTCCGTACACCCTTAGGACAAGTTGGGTGTGGGGGTAACGGTGACCGAATTAACCGACATCACGCTCTACGAGATGCACTGTTTTCAGCTGCTCAATCTGCAGCTCTGGCCTCACAAAGAGGTCCCCTGTTTGACCCCCAGGCACCAGGTCGCGTCCAGCGGATATCTTTCTCCCTAACAGATGTGGGGGACCCCGCTGCCATGGACGTGACTGTGATCTCCACCATGCAACCTCTTACCCAGACAGGTGAAGCCTCTGATAGGGGATACGGTCTAAAAGTCGGCGAAGGAAGAAAGATGACCGCCCATAATGCCGACTGCCAAGCTGCTGGTGTGGCATTTGTTCCATTGGTGGTGGAGACGCTGGGAGGTTGGAGTCAGGAGGCAGTTTTACATATTTCCAAGATTGGCCGTCTTGTTGGGCAGAGGCTCGGCACCAATGCCGCGGAAGCTGTGAGGCACCTTTTCCAGACACTCTCTGGAGAGGAAACGCCACCTTGTGGGCTCGCCGCCTTCCACTCCACTCTGCCTGGGTGGACGGTAACATCTCTACATACATAATTATAAACCTTTTTTTGGTTGTTTTTTTGTTGTTGTGCTTCTTGTGTTCTATGAATGATTGTTTACGTTTAAAAATTTCAGCAAACCTTTTTAAGTGCACTCCAAAGAGAGCAAAAAATGGAGCATCGTAAAGATCACTTTTTAACTCCAAAGTGAGCAAAAATGTAGATTCGTAAAAATCACATTTCAAGTGCACTCCGAAATGTTTCGTCCCAGATTTTACACTAGACATTTTTGCCTAGGTGCACTATACCCTATTTACTCAAGCAATACTAAACACCACAAAAGTCACCTGTGACACTAGCAAGATAGCTGACAGTAGCTGTCTTCCCAACTCCAGTCTCTCCAACTAGAAGAACAGGTTCAGCCATCTGTACACACCTGCTCACAGCCTCAAGGAGGCTCAGAGATGACTGGGTGTGTGAGTAGCACACTCTGCATTGCGTAGAGAGTATATAGTTTTCATGGTCGTCGTGTAAAAAGGCATGTGTAATTTTTCACCCACAGAAACTGACATCATTACAGTTGTGTTTCACTTACGTAAGGGTTTAGCTTCAAATGAAGGGCATCTCTTTTTTATGGTCATTTCATGCAATACTACACATTCGAGAGAACACACAACAAAAATAGAAGATAGAAAAGAGAGGGACCCGGTAAGTAATATTTTAGTAGGCAAAGATATGTGTACGACACTATTGCGTTTTAGACGAGTAAACGTGCCAGTACTGCAGGATACGTAAGTACATGCACAATATAGAATTTACAGCGCATTCATCTGGCCAATCCATGAGTTAGCGTTCTGATTGGTTACAGAATGTTGTAGAGAACATGCAAGGACATGCCTAGGCCAGAAAAACAAAAGTTAAGCTATATAGAAGTAAGGGGTCCCTAGCACGGCAGTGAGTTGCCAACACAACTGTAGCAACCCTAGTTACAAGCTTACCCTGTGCTCTCTCGATTGTCAACATAGATCTTGACAAGAAGGCTCATTTGCTGTAAGGGTCAATGTATGTCGATCCAAAGTCTATATTTCGTGCGTACAATCACTAGGCTTCCACGTATGGGTAGCTGGTTTTTATGACATCTTACACAGACAATGGGCTAAGAGTCCTGTCAATCAGACTCCCGACTTTTAGCACTGAAGGAAGACTTGGTCACAGAGGTATACAAATATGATGATTACTTTGACTGTGACGAGCATGATCGGCCTATGTAGGATCGTCCAACACTGAAAGTACTGGGGGATGATTGAAGAGAGGGCATGTGACTGAAGCACAGCTGTTCAACCTGCACATAAAACATACAATTCTGTAGGAGTTTATGCAAAACCCCACAAGAAAACTGACCATGTTTTGGCTTAGCCCTCCACAGAGGTGACTCAGTTTCAGAGCCTTTGAAAGCTTCTTCTCACCAGAAAGATGACCACAGAAACAATCCAACAACTACAAGTCGGGAAATAGTTGACTGACATCACTGCAAAGAGGGCTAGGGCTGGATGCTTGCAACCTGGTATAAAACTTTCTCTATGTACATTTTGAGAGGAGACACCACAGAATAGATTTGTGACAAACACAGTTATCTTTTTGAGACAGCTGTGTTTTAAAAAAAGTCTATTTGCGTTAATTTGAGCCAAAGTCTATTCACGCTTACCTGAGCACATTTAAACTAATAATGTATACTTCACTACTTTTCTAATGTTGGATTGAGAAGGTTTCGCCTCCATTGAAACAAAGTGCAAGGTACAAGCGTTGTTGTAAAATTAACTAGTTATGACAAACTTCAAGGGCTCAGGTGAATTTAAGCCATCATAATAATTTTAAAAAAGTGGTTGAAAAGCCACAACACCAGGGATTAACCCCAGCATGTTCCATCCACAAGCACAATTATTACGCTACTGTTGCGCTACACTGACAGTATATAGACATAACTCTGTATAGCAACTAACATCGAGCATCATGTCTGGTACTGAGGTGAGTCGGCCATGTGCAACTTGAGGCACTATCCTGTTACACAACTTCAAGACATGTCTGCAGGAAAGTAATACGACAATACAATCATAATACACAAAATTTGCACAACACAAAACAATGGTAATTAGGAGCACGGCCTTCTCGTTAAAAGATAACAGCACTATTATTGGATATGCATACAGTAGGTGTATTTGTCATGTGTGTTTACTTTTGCTGAATAGTGCAGTGCAGGATACACCCCGCGAAACTAGGTCAGTCTGGACAAAGCACTATATCCCTCAGCATTCAATGGCTCTAAAACACGTTTGTCATAAAGGTAATAATGGCAGTGTTTCAATCAGTGTGCGCAAGGTTCAAGGTTCAAGGTTCAAGAAGAGTGTGTAATAGAGAGGCATAGTGCATACACACATGGAGATACAAAGGGACTTACCGTAATGATACACCTTGCTCAACAACTGTGAGTGCTAACTGCTTGGTAAAGGTTTCCAAGTCGGGATACTCAGAGCTAATCACCTACAAAAAAATTTACACTTTGATAAACACTGATAAGCACAACAAATAATCATACTAATAATGTCGCATTGATATTCAAAAACCTTTTCCTTTTGCATGGGGTACATTAAACGTTTCCTCACTTTCTCGATGTCATCAGTGGTGTGAGGAGGGAGTGTCAATGTTACACTGTGGTCTTCCAAAACTTTCAAAAGACCTGCAACCATGTGCCCTGCCTCCGGACATCCAGTACTAGTAGTGCTAAAAAAGAGTACAGCAAAGACGCGTACAGTGACTTTTGACCCGAATTGTTTTCGCCGCGCTTGCGCAATGTTGGACAAAAACATGCTTTTCGACGTCCGTGGAGTTTCTCTCTGCACTGGTGTGCTTTTCCCTAAGTTGTACGGGTCATCATGGCACTTTTTCATACCGAGCTTCTATGCTGACGACCGGACGATTATGGTGGCAAAGCGCATGTTGTGGTCAGATGAAAGCATGCAGGCAGCGGTGGACAGTATTCTACACGAGAATAGAGGTTTGAGGGAAGCAGCAAGGCTTTACAACATTCCCGTTGAGACGCTTAGGAGGCATGTTAACGGTAGTATAGAGGTGGGAGCCAGACCAGGGCCAGCAACTGTCCTTATGGATGAGGAGGAGGACATGCTTGTGAAGTATCTGGTGGAAATGGCGGATATGGGGCGTGGATTGACAAGGGAAAACGTCATGGAACTTGCATTTACAATCATTCAGAAGTGTGAGCGAAAAAATCCCTTTCCGGCGGAAAAGCTGGTCGTGCATGGTTCGAGGGGTTTCGACGGCGCCACCCACAGTTATCTCTACGAGCTCCACAGCCACTGTCTTACTGTCGAGCTATTTCTTCCAACCAAGCAACAGTTGATGATATTTTTTGCCAAGCTCGGATCCCTTTATGGTCGCCTAAATCTCATTACAAAGCCTATGCTTATATACAATTGCGACGAGACTGGTATAAGTATTGTACATAAGCCGGGGAAAGTCGTCACTGAGATGGGGAGGCGGAATGTGTATGCACTGACGTCGGCTGAAAGGGGGAAACACACACCGTTCTTGCATGTGTGTCAGCTTCTGGGTATGTCCTCCCACCGATGATGATTTACCCTAGGAAAAGGTGTGTCCCTATGAGCCTCAAAGAGGGCTATTCTCGATACATACTTTGCCACTAGTGAGAGCGGGTGGATCAATTCCGAGCTGTATTTAGAATAGTTTCGTTTTTTCTCGAACATATTCCTCCTACCAGAGGTGTATAGGTGTATAGGACGTGTGAGTAGAGTAGCCTCTGCACTAGAAATTTGAGCTCTAGAAGTGGTCTAAGTAATATAATTATAGCCACGTAAGTGGTTGTGTCTCATAACTGCTCATCCATGCTTTGTTCAGCTGTTTGATGCTTTTACTTGTAGTAAGGAGACTTATTGTGACTTGCGTGGGTGGATCAAAGGAGCCGCGCATACTCTTATTTCCCGTATTGTAGCATGCGTTCAATATGACCAATATAGAACGTTCAATAAAAGAATTATTGAACTAGCATCAGCATCGTATATACCCACAGTATAGACAATGCTTTTGCATCTGTTTTAGACCCTCAAAAAGTTCAACAACTATGGGGCAAATGACATTGATACCATTTGTGAACATTTCTGTGAATCAGTGAAGCCTGATACACTCAAGGTGGAGTGGATGACACTAAAGCACACTCTAGTCCAAGACTTCACCACACCTACAGAAGTGATGCAGACGCTTGCTTCTGATGAAACACTTCGTCTACTCTACCCTACTTTTTCAAAACTCTCTGCAGTAGCCCTAGTCTTACCTGTTTCGACTGCAGACTGCGAACGTGGTTTTTCTACCATAAAGAGGATAAAAACTGTACCAAGAAACAGACTGAAGACTGAAACCTTAGATAGGCTAATTCGTATCTCCTCCGAAGGATCAACTACCGCACAATTTGACTTCGACCATGCAGCATCTGTTTGGGCCTCCAAACGAAGTAGAAAAATTCTGATTTAGTTTTTGTACATATATTGTATGCCACAGTGCCGTTTTTATTGACACTAATTTGTGTGGATGTGGCTGAAAAAGTGGGCATGACCACAAAAGATATTTTGCGCGCTACTGCTACCACCCTCTTTCAATTTCATTCTAGAGGAAATACTGCCAGTCACTGAGGAAGTAAATTACGTATATATACATATCGCTGTTCAACCATCCATACAACCTCTACTGAACTACATAATCACATCTTGTATTTGTGCACCCCCACATATCATTGATTTGATGTTCAGAAGATTATTATTTGCTATGCTGTGTAGGTTGGCATGCTAATTGGTGAAATAAGAGGTTAAATAAATAGCTGTGGTTGAGTCATTAACTAAGCACAATGCGTGAAAATTTTGCCACTTACACGGTATCGTAGCTGTTGCATACATAGCTTGCAGCTAATAAGTACATGTCACTGTGTTATGGAAACTTGATCAGGCAAACCTTACAAAGTGAAATGCACAATGTGTATGATGGTTCAAAAATGTATTTAAAAATTGGAGAAAAACACCTAATACCCGGTAGCACTACCACAGCATTTGTTACACATTTGGAACCACTTTGTCTAAACATTTAATGCATAAAATTGCTTGATGCCATCAACAAGCTGTTGTTTATTCATTGGCTTCACCTCACACCTCAAAAATTCTTTTTAATTCATGCCGCAAGTTTTTAATTGGTTTCAGATCAGGAGATTCTGGAGGGGTTTTCCACCAGTCAATGCCATTTGCAGCATAAAATTCCCTAGCTCTTCGAGAGGTGTGCTTAGGATCATTATCCTGCACATGTGAGGTAGGAAATTTTTCAGCAATAAAAGGCAGAAGGTATCGAGTAAGAATTTCAAAATAAAACTCTGCATTCATCTTTCCCTCAAGAATGCACACTTTTGTTGCTCCTCTCTTGCTTATTGCAGCCCAAACATGTACTTTCACGTTTGAGCCTTGGTGCTTGCCCTTGCTTGCGAAACGAATGTCTACGATGACATTCAAGTTGAACAGATGTTTCATCACTCCATATTACATCACAAAATGTTTCTTTGTCTGCTACACATTTCTGAGCAAACTCTAAGTGTTTCAGATTGTTGGGCTCATGGATCAGTTGGCAATAACGAGAACCCTGAAAGGCCCATCCCATTTCTTTGCGACAACGCTTAGGCTGATGTAAAATCCAGATTGATTGAGTTTTTCGAAGGAGGAATGTCCATTGTATATACCTCCGCTCGCGCGATGCACTGGAGCATTTTGATTGGTCACCCTACCGACCAATCACAATCCTTCTGCATTTTTGATTGGTCACTAGACTCACTGCTCCAGTGGCCCAAGACTGAATGTGATTGGGCATCGTGATTTTGATTCTCCTAAAATGATTCACAGAAGAAACGATCCCTATAAATGCTGGGCCGCGCTTTAGCCGCGTTGCCACTGACGGTGAGCTCTATTCGGCAAGACTGACTGCTAGCCACTACCTACTCTCATCGCTATTCATCACGGGGGACTGCGGTTCACTACTCTCGACTCGGCAAGACTGACTGCAGGCAACTACTCTGGTCCCTATTCATCGCAGGGGACTGTCTCGACTCGGCAAGACTGCTACTACTCTCATCCCTGGGGACTGTTCGGTTCGGCAAGACTGATTGCCGGCCACTACTCTGGTCCCTATTCGCCGCGGGGAACTGTCTGTGTATGTTGTGTGTGTGTGCGTATGTGTGTGTCTCACTCAATAACTCACTTCTCCAATGTTGGTTCGTCTCACAAACGATACAACTTACATAACGGGCGATGAAGGTCAGAAATTTCGAGCGGTTTTCTCTGAAAATGGCTCCGTTGCAAAGGTAGAGCGCTTCCAGAATTGTACGGCTAATGGCAGTAGTCGCTAATTTATCGCTGCGAAAAATGCGCATGCATATTATATTCGACCAAGTGCCCATTTTGCTTCTCGTTTAATGCAGCGTTGATTGGAGTGAGATCGAAGAGAATACCTTTTTTGGGCATGATCCCCATTGATCTCTATAAATTCTGGACCGCGCTTTAGCCATGCTTCAACTCGCGGTGAGCTCTATTCAAGACTGACTGCTAGACACTACCTACTCTCGTCACTATTCGTCACGGGGGACTGCGGTTCACTACTCTCGACTCGGCAAGACTGACTGCCGGCCACTACTCAGGTCCCTATTCGTCACGGGGGACCGTCTCGACTCAGCAAGACTGCTACTACTCTGGTCCCTATTCGTCGCGGAGGACTGTCTCGACTCGAGACTGACTGCCGGCCACTACTCTGGTCCCTATTCGTCGCGGGGGACCGTCTCGACTCGGCAAGACTGCCACTACTCTGGTCCCTATTCGTCGCGGAGGACTGACTCGACTCGAGACTGACTGCCGGCCACTACTCTGGTCCCTATTCGTCGCAGGGGACCGTCTCGACTCAGCAAGACTGCCACTACTCTCGTCCCTATTCATCACGGGAGGCTGTCCACACTGCTTCAAAGACAACTGCCAAGCCACTGGCAATCTCCGCCACTTAGCAACTAGCAACTACTCATCAGCTATTCCACAACAACAAGTAGTAGGTCAGAAAAAAGCACAGCTAACAAAACTGGTCAGTAACACATAGAATCTATGGTCGGTCTCATGTCGCCGAGCTAATCGCTCAGCCCTTCTGTCTACAGTGGCAGTTTGAGCCTTGGAGGACAGGATTAGTTGTCTATATCGTTGAGTACACACACTATAAATACACAGATATTGAGTGTGTGCAGTGTTGCACAGACTAAGTGACCATGTACAGAGAACCTAAGCATAACCCAAGCACACTAACCGTTGCGTTAAAAACAGCTTGAAGTCCCTAGCTGCAACCACAGCTTCATAGTACCCAGGTAGATTTAGCCTCCCGGTCTTCACAAGAGGAAGTAGCAGTGAAATCTGTACACAACAAATGAAAATCACGTTAGTGCAAACCCTCAGGGTACATTATCAACTCGCATGAATCTACAACACAAGACAAAGGTAAAACTCATTGGGCATGCAAATTAGGTATTCACGCATGCATGTATGCGAGAAATAATGCTCCTTATTTGCTCTGTGTTAAATGATTTCAACATTCAACACACTACTACTCTGCCATACATTGACATATTAGAAGAGCACTGTAACAGCAAAGGTAATGTTATAGACGTGCCTATGCACTTAGTTTGGCAACATTAAACATCATTATATAGGGTGCTTTATTTGCCATCCGAGTCTACTTTTATGTGCTTTGTCCGGCTAAAATCGGTCCAGTAGGTTTTATTTTTGGCGAGAAAAAGTTCTTACTCAACCGGCCCATGCGGCAGATCAATGGTCGTGACGTCATTGCGTAGACTACAACCAAATACCTCTGTGTTCTTTTACTACTCCGCGTTAGTTGCATGTGGATCAACCAATGAAATTGTAGAATTTCGGCCGTTGCCATGGCTGTCATCGCTGCGTGCAAGAACTCGCACAAAGACGTGTTTCCTGGATAGTCATCTTTTCGCCCTCTCCAGCACTTCAAGCACCATGCCGAGGACTAAACAGCAATCAGCCCGTCGGGCGAAGCGTGGACCTCTTCGTAGACACACATAAAGTGCGCAAACTCAGTCAGATACGCCGACAGGAAGCGCCTCAACAAATGCCGAAAGCGGTCTGACTACAGCTAGCGGGACAAAGCTCTCCCCTTCCCCACATACTGCCAGTGAGTATCCTAATTCTGTCAGCAGTTCAGAAAGTGAAAGTGAGAGCCGCCGACCAAAAAAAGGGAGCGTGGATACTGGAAGTAAGCGGGATACAATCGGCTTTGAAGAATGCTGTGTGTTGCAAAGAGTGTGGGGCCCTGTTTTGTTCAAGGAGGAGCTATTCAAAAGAGGAGGTCTGTGCACGCATCCATATCTGTTCTGCCAAAGCTGACAGACAAAAACAGCCATTCCGTTTGCATGTTCTGGCTTGAGATCTCTAGCTGTGAATAGAAGAGCAGTACTAGCTAACAAGTGTGTTGGTGGTAGTTATATACGCATCTTTAGAGACTCTTTTTGTACTGCTGGACCTTTCACTACATGTGTCGCAGCACGCATATCAACAGCACATGAAAGTCATCGCAATGGGAGCACGTACTGCAGTTGAAGAGAATATGAGTCGAGTACATGAAGAACTCCGAGACCTCTACGATATTCCTCCAGATCAGATCATCAATATCTTGATAAGCTGTGACGGGACATGGCAGAAGCGTGGATTCTCCTCTATTTTGGGGTAGTCTTTGTCATTGCGTACGAAACCGGAGAAGTGATGGATTACACTCTTCTCTCGAAACACTGCAGTGTGTGCAATAAGTAGGAAAATGAAGACCAAACTAAAGCTGAGTATCGGGCATGGAAAGAAAATCATGTTTGCTCCATCAATTCCAATGGTAGTGCTGGAGCCATGGAGCCATTTGGTACTTTGGCCCTCTTCCAACGCTCTGTCGGCTACAACCTGCGCTACAAATACCTGATATCAGATGGAGAGAGCAAGACATCCGCACTATTGAGTCGTGAACAAGTGTATGGGACTGACCCTGAAGACCAAGTAGAGAAACTTGACTGTGTTGGCCACGTACAAAAGAGGGGGACAGCACTAAGAAACTTGAAAGTGCAATACAGGGGACAGAAACTCAGTGACGGGAAGACAATTGGTGGCGCAGGACGACTCACAGACTCCCTAACAAACTCTCTCCAGAACTACTATGGAAACGCGATCAGGAGCAACAAGGGAGACCTAGACCTATGGTTAGAGCTGTGAAAGTTACTTTGTTACACAGTAACTCATCAGATGAAAAGCCACGACACCATCTGTGCCCACCTGGTGAACACTCGTGGTGTAAGTGGCAACGTGCTCAGGCCCTTGGGATTGAATACTCCCACACTAAACCATCGATTCATTGTTCTTCTCCTGAAACCGATTTATGCACGCCTTGGAAATCCCCTCCAGCTTCAAAAGTGTCTTGAAGGATATACACAAAATGCCAACGAGGCATTGCACTCGACAGTCTGGAAGCTATGTCCCAAGGAACTCTTTCTTGGAAAGGAAAGTGTGGACATCACCTGCTGAATTGCCGTGTGCAGATTCAATGATGGGACATGTGCTTTTCTCTCTCTGTCCAAAGGATTGAACTCACTACATCTCATTTCTGCAGGCATATGCTCAGAAAGAGAGACAGATTGTGTGTACAAAAATCGAAATACAAGTCGAGTGAACGCGGAAATGGCGTTCAGGAGGAGTGCCAGAAAGAAGTGAAAGGGAATTGAAGACAGGAATAAAGAGAGGGAGGGGCAAGCAAAGAAAGCCACTGCGTATAATGGAGATGGACCGTTCGCTCCTGGGTGAATCGCGCACGAGTTTTCTCTCCCATAGAGAATGTATTGAGGAGGAATATGAATACGCTAATAAGTTTCGAAAACAAGGTAGGAAAAATCCGAAAAATATACCTAAATTCACCATAAATCACCACCGTTTTTGCTGTGCCATAGAAAAAAATATCTGAAACATACGCCCACGCATCTGATACCACACATGTGTATAAGTTTGACATCTCTAGTGCGCCGAGGGTTTGCACTTTAGTGCTTTTCATGTTATTCGGGTTTTAATTTATATCTGAAGGAGAAGATGATGAACATTGATTATCATAGCCCCATAATACAATGCTGCTAGGTTCATTGCCAATCCCTGCATACTAAGTCTTACACACTGGCGCACAAATGGTTTGTGTGTTTACGCAATCCACACGCAATGAGTTAAACCACTGTGCTATGGCACAGTATACTTTCACTCGGCATGAAGGAACATACCTGGGATAACTCATTGAGGCCCAAAGCACCTCGAGGGTCAATTTATGTCAATAACACGGAATTTAAATGCAACGCATTGCGTGAGTAGTGTGTGCACCCGCTTACCTTCTCTTTCTCGGGGATAAAGCAACTGGCCGACTTCTGTGACTATCTTTTTCATACTAGTGGAAATGCTTGGCATTCTTTGGGCGAGCGGAGCGAGAACTCAAGTATATACAACCATCATCATTACTAGCGATAATATAGCTACGTATATATGTACAGGTAAAAGTTTCAGCAAGTAACAGAATTTATTATGGTGTTGACATAATATTAGGTTGAGTAAGGCAGCTTTCGCATACGTAGCTAGTGAAACTAGACCAGAAGAAAGTAGCAACGGAAAGGTAATGTGCCCGCACCCCCTCTCCATCTCTTAATCGTCGCTGAAAAGACAAGCCTCTCTGTCGTGAGGACTTTCGACTGCCGGGCGTTCTGTCGTCTGCCTCTTGGAACAGAAGCAGTATCGTTGCCTTGCCCGCTCAAGATCTCGTAATGGTCCCTGAAAAGACGAGCCTCTCTGTCGTGAGGACTTTCGACGGCCGGGCGTTCTGTCTGTCTACTTCTTGGACCAGAAGCAGTATCGCTGCCTTGCCCGCTCTCGATCTTGTAATCATCCCTGAAAAAGACGAGCCTCTCTGTCGTGAGGACTTTCGACGGCCGGGCATACATAGATAGAAAATTCGAGCCGAAGACACGATTTTCTATCTGCTTTTCTTCGACGAAGAACACTATCCTCCGTGGACGCCAACTGGACGGAGGATGGAGAAAAAATTACGCACAGTATGTCGTATAATAAGAAGCGACGTAATATTAACGCATGCGCACTAAGACGACGACGGTGCATCGTATATATATAAATTATATATAGAAATTCGAGCCGAAGACACGACTAGGCTAATCCAACTCCAAACTAAGTACTGTATATGCATGCGTTACCAACAACGAGCCATGGCAAAGGCACACCAAACAACAAAAGGCATGCTTTGAGTGAGCCTCAGCAATAAAGTTTAGTAGAAAGTATTGGAACAAGCTGTATTTAAACACCCCACGATCGCGCTGTATGATACACATGTGTTTCTCTCATGCAGGTGTCACTCTTGGCACTGTTGTCATGCCCCGAACACACCTAGCTCTGTCTCTGCTGGACACTAGCTTGCTGATGGTAGAAGCACATCTCGCACACTCTGTCAATGGCAAGCCTACTTAGATATCTTGTTGCTACACAAAGAGTTCTACTCGGGTGTGGTCATTTTCTTCAGTGTGAAAGCGTTGTGTCATTCATACTAGAAGTATATACAATGGTTCCACGGTGTGTACATAGTGCAAGGTGGTGATAAATGGCAATACTACAATAGACTTACGACATCGGGAGGAGCAAAGTCAATATCTTCCAAAACAATCCAATGTCCATTTAACACACACTGCGGACACAAAGAAATTGCATAACCCTTACAGGAGCAAAAGGTTTATACATTAACCAATACTACGCCGATAATTTAATGTACGCACACACGGACTACGTAAGAGTGGGGCAGGTTTCACCCATGTTTGTAAACCTACTCTGTTTTTTCCCGTTTGCTATTGAACTCCAAAGCGCACAATTAGCTAGCTGAACTTTGGTTGTAAAAAAGATCGTCACTATAGCCAGCACAACGGTGGAATGGCAGCACATCGACTCTAACATAAGTGACTTAAGCGCTGAGGCACGCGTGTATCTGCCACGTGTAGGCGACAGTGGCGTAATGTGCAGAGAAATGGCAACCAACTTGGCATGCACAGTTGGAGCACCATACAGTTGGAGCACCATACAGCTGTGTGCAATACATTTTGCATATGTGACCATCCACGCCAAAAAGCGGCATAAAACTGATTTTTAGTAAACAGCCTTAGAAGTCCAACCAGCGGGAACCACGCAATTCCGACTTTTTTTTAACGGAGAAGGACCTACATCTATCTAGAACACAGCTATATACTTCAGAGCGTCGAAACTCGCTTGCCAGGGCGGTGGCGGCGCCTCAAAGTAGGCTATGTCGATCTCCACGAGCAGGTGAACGGGAGAAATACACGGGAATTACGCGGAGAAATTTAAGGGCCGTCAAAACCACTGCCTAACGAGGAGCTAGGGTTACCGACGATGCTAAAAGCTTACCTGCTACTTTCGCTGGGCCTGTCTTCTTCGTTTCCACGAGAGATAGCCTCGTTCCACAACCATGCGAGCGGCTTTAGGGGGCGTGTCAACGCTCGACCTCTCCACGTACAAAAATTGCCGTTTCTCGGATCTCGAAGGTCTGACTCCCGGGAACAAAAGCAGCTATATGTCCAGAATGGAACGGGCTATCCGCACCAAATTGTAAACGAGCACGGGAAAAGGGTAGACAACGCAAAATCCGGTGAAATCTCGGGAAAAAATTTGCCGACTTATACCGCTTTTTCACGTGGACGGTCACATATAGTTGAGTCGCGCAATTGTTTTGTTATTCACAAGCACATTAGTTACACTACACACCTTAGTTAGTAATCCAGGCATCCATACAAACTCTCCAGGAACGGCTGTACAAGTAAACGTCCCAAGAAGAACCTGCAACATGAGATGAACAAGGACAAATCCCTAGATATGATTTTTCACACTTATACGCCTTTTCATGGGAATGTAGCGTTTAAAAGTGTTGCCTGGGCTCCATAATTTCTTTTCAGGTGTGTTTCATGCCATAGATGATTTTGGCTTTGTTTTAGTGTCCATTGATTGGAGACTGCAAGTTGTAATACAGCACTGACGCATATACGGTAGTGTTGTACATTACGAAAAACTTTATCGCTCAATCCAGAGCATGAAACAGGACATTCAGTAACTAAAACTCAGCACATATGTGCAGAAAACCTGATTTGCAAGCGTGTCTGTCGTTGTTGCAAATATATACAAATCACCACTGAACACATTCAACCTCTTTGTGGACCACGGAGGCATCAGAAGTTACAACAGAAGGCAAGTGTAAAAGCTAGCAGTGCCTAAAATGCTATTCACTAGTGAACCTTGCCCATGTCAGGCTCAAAACGCTTTTGAGACCCCATGACAGTCATAGACAAGTTTTGGAACGGGACTCAAATATACTAATCAAAAGCACTAAAGTGTAAACCCTCGGAACACAACCCGTGGGTGTAGGTATTGCCAATTAATTGATGGGCAGGGATAGGCCATTGACATTATTCATGGTCTCTTGCTAGCTTTCTGTGAGTCTAAGGCTGGTTAGATACACAGTAAGAGCATTCACCTGACCCCAAAAGTCTGTGTGAACTGTTTGTACAACCACATTCGTATTACCACATTTGCTGCCACCACAGGCAACAAACTCACCACGGTTATACCAACAGATTCAGCGCTACACTGGGTGTGCACAAACACCAAGGTAACACAAACCACACTATTATGTCACAATAATCTTTATACCCATATACTAACCTAATGCACTACAATAATAAATTTGCATATTTCATGATGTCTTCAATGAAGCAGCACAAAACAAATGAATGTAAAATGTAAAAGCAACCACACACACGCTTTCGATAGGCTACAATGCAACGAGTAAAATATGAGACCTTGCTATCAATTTGCTCGCCAAGATGGACCACCATGACCGAGTCACCGACCGTCCTACCACGCAGAGACAAATAGTCTCTCAACAAGCTTGTCTTGCCACACCCACTGGGTCCCTGGACCACAACACTCAGAGCTCCACTTCCCTCCACAGCTATGTGCAGCTCCTCCAGCTTCTATGGAACAGCAGATACACCTTCACATTGTTACAAAACAGTTGAATCCCCAATTTTAGAGCACAGTAATTCACATGAATCCTCCGTTCTAGAATGAAGAAATACCTGATTTCCTTGGAATTGTTCCTTATCAGCATGAGCAGATAGACAGCTGAAACAAATGAAAATTAAATGTCATGAACAGACACCTCCCGTCTGAAGTGTCATTCTGAATTGCGTGCTTTTTGGCACTACACATAACCCATACATGCCAACCGTCCCGAAACTGGCGGGACAGAACCGATTTTTTATGCTATGTCCCACTGTCCCGCCAAGCACGTCACTTGTCCTGAATTACTTTGACGTCGCCCATCTTTCTGCTGGAGCGCTAGCTACGGCGGCCACGCCCGGAAAAAAGGAGTGGCTCGCTCTGCGCGGTCCGTGTCGGTGGCTTAAAGGCGGCGTGGTTCGTTTCAGCGCGAGGCATTTTTTTACTGGGAGGTTGCAGGTATGATAACCCAACATTTCACAGGTCCATTTGGCGAGCGGTTAGTGGTCAGCTATTCTTCTTAGTATGTCATGCCTTTGCACATTTTATGTCCAGGTCGATGCTGCCACTGGTGGTTGCAAACATACACTAGTTAGAGCGCAGTTTGCACCAAAAAAGTAAATAACCAGTCAAGTTATCACACCACCTGCAGTACCTGGAACAAAAATGGGTCTTACACAGAAGTATAAACATCCAGGCGACTGGTGAGAAGCCCCAGGTACTAAAAGGTATACCACCTTCATTTTACCCGCAATGATGAAGTACCTGGTGCCAAAGTTGCAGCTAGAAATTCTTTCCAACTTCAGTGCATCATCCTACGAAAAAAGGAAACCACATCTTTGATACAAAAAACGATTCGTCGATTAAATGGTGGAACCTACATCCCTTCTAACAATGAAATCCATCTGCACAAATGTAGCTCTGCCAGTGCCTGCCTTCACACCCGAAGACGCAGACAGCGGCACACACACAAACACACAAACACGTGTATATATATACCACGTGGGGACATTTCTACGCATGCGTCATGATTTCGGTTACTAAATTAAAGGGGAGTGTCTCCCTGACCCCGAACGGTGTAACCCAAGACTTACCCAGATGAGACCGTTGCGATACGAGCAGCGCTCAGAAGCAGGGTTGAAGGTGTACCGGTCACAATGAGTGAAGCAAAGGTGCAAGTGGCAGTTCGCGCGAGGCCCTTGTCTCAAAGGTTCAGTGAAGCTAGCTAGCTAAGCCACTTTCCAGCCTAATATCCTTGTATATCACTAGCTGGCTACTTGGTTTTCTTACCTATACTGTCTTCAACATGCATAGAGAGCTGGAGATGGAATCTCCTGTGGTGTTAGAGATGAAAGGCAAATCAACATTACTGCGAAAGGTGGGTTACCAGTTGGTTTCAGGCTCTGAATGCCTTTTCAAGCAACTACATAGATGTAGTAAAAACTTTCATTTTCCACATGTTGTTGTTCTTTGTGTGCAGACAACAGATGATGTAATTGTGGGGCAAACTAGAGAGAAGGTGAATGAGTTTGTATACGACTATTCCTACTGGTCTCTGGACCCAAGTTACCCACATTTCGTACCTCAAGAACAGGTACACACTTTCACTAGGTGTCTTCATGACTGATGAAACTTTCACTATATTATTATAACTTGGACATGGGGGTATTTCTGGAATCATTATATTGAGGGTGTAGTGAGGTTAGTTCTGGAATGCATAACGTGTAGCTGACAATAAAAATGTTGTGGTCACTCTAGCAGGGGAACATGAGTTTATATCTCTTAGGTGTTCAATGATTTGGGGAAGACAGTCTTGGAGGCAGCGTTTGAAGGATACAATGCCTGTGTGTTTGCCTATGGGCAAACCGGCTCTGGGAAAACATTCACAATGATGGGAACTGAGGTTAGTAGCTGGTGTCTCTTCCCAGTACACTATTGGTACAACAAACATGAATTCCTCCAAACTAGAGAGCTCCAGGTCTCATCCCAAGGATTTGCGAGGTAAGGTCAATTAATTGCTACTAGCATGACAAACTCCCATCCATGAATATTAGTACCTGCTTTGTAACGTGGAAATTCATTGTTTGATCACCTGTAAAATCACATTGCACTAGACCACATGACTTGTATATAGGGTGTTGACCTTTTCCTCCATACTCCTATCTTTCTCCATTACCCTATCTAGACACTGTTTGATCGGACAGTCAGTGGTAGTCTGAAGAAGGTATCCTACAAAGTTGAAGCCAGGTCTGCTATCTTATTGTGTAATGTAATTCTCTTATGAAGAGCATACAAAGTAGCCTTTAAAAAATAACCTACCTACTGCCCATTCTACTTCAAAGTAATTCCCTCACGATAATAGTGTGGTCTTAGCTCTCTGAGTTTTAAAGTTTTGATAGCATGAAATACACATGCTATGAATTTCATTTGTTGTATATTGTCATTGCACAGTTTCATGGAGATATACAATGAAATGGTACGTGACCTCCTGCTGCCAGCTCATAAATATGCCGCAAACAGGCTTAAAGTGCGTCAACATCCGAAGCATGGCCCATATGTTGAGAGTAAGTTGTTATGCTTGAGACAAAGTTTATTGCGTGTTTTCAATTTGTGTGTCTTAAACATTCCCAAGCTTGCATGTTTTCCAAAAAGTGATGGATACATTCCCAAGCATGCAAGTTTTAAATTCTGTGAAGCTCTCATGCTTGTCTGCACTTTGGCACTCGGCACAATATGTGCACTGAGCAGTCTGTGAAATGCACTCACTTGCACAGATATAATCTTCTCAGTGTATAGCAATATGTCATTGAGAAGCAACCTTTTTCTGAGAGTGCACTTCATGTAATGACTAAACCTGGATCTTTACTACCTCTATATACAACTTATAAGAAATGAGAGAAAGGGTTCTTGTGATGTGTGTACCAAATACCCAGCCAGACACAAGGGCAGTTTTGCATAGCCAGTTCTTTAGTTCTTAATCCTCAAAACAACATTCTACCACGACAAACATTTAGCTACTGCATCATGTAGTGATACGAGAAATGAATGCACACACTGTGTGGTTTTGCTTACGTCATGAGGGGTATGATGAAGTGGAGACTTCCAAGAGTAGAGAGCTCACCTTCTAGCTGCATGCTTGCAATGAAATCTCTCAACAAATTGGTAGCGAGGTAAGGCAAGGCAAACAAGTCTGTGCATCCATGATTATGACAGCAGAAGTGATAGAGAGGGGAGGGAATCTACAAGACCTTGCTGACTCCAGGTTTGTATGACCAGGTGTCCAATGTATTACTAGTCATGTGACTGAGTACTACAGGAGCCATCAGTCCTAACACCCTGAGGTGTTGTGTTGCCAACAGGCATTTTTTTTTTTTCGGAGTTAATGTTTACCTTAGTTTTTTTTAGTTATTTAGTATTGTTATAGTATGTTGTACCCACTTTTACATTTGCCTGTAGGGAACATTTTGTTTTAGTAGCAGGTATTCGTATGTAATATTATTATGTTCGTGGCTTTCTGTTGCTAACAATAGTATTTATATTATATGTATTAACACGCCATTACATGATTACGTAGTTTTTATTGAACAGTCAGCAACAGTCTCTTCCTCGCTTGTATCTTATGTCCCTGTTTTGGTGTGTGTCACGGCACTGTAGTTTTTTTTTTTGTATTTGTTCTATTTTCTGATTTGTGTTTTTTTGTTGTCATTTTTTATGCTGAGTGTGACACTTTAATTTAGCCGGTAGTGCATTTGTGCATGATACTGTTAATAGGTGATACTATGTGCCTGTTCTGGTTGTCTGTTTAAATCAGGTTAATTGTATACTGTTGATCTTTTGCATGATATATTGTTACATGAGGCTTAATTATTGTTATGAAGTGCAGTCTTGTCTTCTTTTTTTTGTTTTTGTTTCCTGAATTGATAAATGTTCAGGATTACCCCACTCTTTGATTGTAATATTCTGCTCTCTTGGTATAGTTTATGACTATATGTCAAGCTCTACCTGACTACTCTGTTGTCAGATGTTTCTTTGATTGCTATTCTTATATATTTCAAGTGTTGTTCACTTGGGCTTTGGGGTCATATAATGCTTTATATTTGTGTAGCTTATGTCTTTCCTTGATCACTTATCGTTCTTTATTGATTTTTCCCATTGATATTCGTTAAGCTTTTGTGTTTTCATTACTATGATCTTCTATTTATAGGCCGAACATTTTTAATGTCACATTTAATTCTTCTCTTCTTCTTATTTCAGTTTCTTAGTGTCTTTTCAATCAGTCTTGTATACTCATGGTAATCTATCACCTTCCCCCTATTTGTCTTATTAGAGCTTGTTTATTAATAGTTGTACAATTATATTATTTTTTCTTTGATTGTCCTTAATCTTTATGTTGTGTGTCATGTATAGATGGTCTTAGCGGATTTATTGTTGTCTGGGGATAGGTGTTTACTGATAGTACTTTCCATACTTCCCTTCATATAAAATGCTTTACATCTAAATCTGACCTGTACTATGTCAGAATGCTTATCTCATCTACATTACTCGTTGCAGTTTATTCACTCTTATAAATTTGTATTTTTTCTTATGTGAGTACTTTACTTTTTTTCTATAGTGTTAAGGCCTACATTACCTTTCAGTGTATGAGTATTACTTATAACTTCCATGTAGCCTTATTGAATTGCATGTTCCTTTTTAGTTTATTGACTACAGGTTCAATCCCCTGTTTCTTACATTCCTGATTTCTGTTGTTGCAGTCAGTTGAGATATTGAAGCTGTGGCCTTGAGCAGTTGCAACCCCATAATGGCTAGCTTATTTTTTGTGTTTGTCTCTATTTGATGTTTGGTGATGAGTTTAGCGTATCCGTTTGTCTTTAGGTATTTTATCTTCTCTAAACACCTCTTTCCTTTAGCGCGATCAGATATTTCAGAGTGTTTCGGTGATGGCATATTTTTCTGATTTGATCGACTGTGGTTGAATTTATCTATGACGGTACACTACATAACCTTTAGTTGCCTACTAGTTAATACTCGCTATTGTGTTTTTGTTAACTGATTTTGTGGTATTTTATTTTTTGATTGTCAGTGGTTGACTTAGATTTTGCCACTGTAAGTATGAATTTTTTTGATTGTATGCAGTCAGTGCTTTGTCCTTCTCCACGCCTTTTTGATTTTAATACCCATTTTACCTATTCTACTCGTGCTGATCACTAAGTTTATTTTATTCAGATTTTGTTACTCGTTTCGTTTTTTAGTTTTATGGTTTTGTTTTTTTCGCTTAACTCCCTATCAGGTCGTATTCCCTACTTTCTTGCTGTTATTTTCTGCCATGTGAGGACAGGTGTGCAGTAAGTATTTATACCTTGTTGTTGACATGGTCGGTGGTATGGGTGTGATTTTGTTTTTTTTGGTTTTAAGTCTCTGCCTTTTTTTTTTGTTGTATCATGGTTGATTGGTCTTTCTTTTTTGTGTTGTCATTTGGTATGGCTACTTGTCTATCGTTTGAGATTTGTGTCACCATCCATGCATATGTTAATTATTAATTCTTCCTTAATTTAGTTTTCCCAGTTTCTTTTGTAACGTATGACTTTATACTACCCTCTTATAATCGATCACCATAGTAATGACAGTACATTGTTATCACCTCCTCTGTACCATTATCCTCTTGTACCCACCTTTGTGTGTTTCCACATCTCATTTTTCCCTTGATATCACTTCTTACACTCCCCATTTTTCTTATCTTGTTTATATTCATAAGCATTATACCTTTGTAATTCTTAGTTAATCTGTTTCCCCCCCCCCCTCCGCTGGCCTTTCGTCGAAAATTTATTAAAATCCAATTCCTAATTGTCATGAGCAGTTGATAGTGCCACCTGGGCAAGGAGGGCATTCTGGACTGAACTGAACGGAAAAGAAGGAGGAAATATCAACAGGTCCTTGGTCTGTCTTGGGAATGTCATCTCTGCCCTGGGTATGTTGCATAAAAACGAAAAAAAAAACAACGAAACGTAACAACGAAAACGAGAAAAAAACGGAAAAACGAAACGAAAACGAACTAATAAACTAAAACTAAAAAAACTCACAAATAATTGGGAATACTCTCTTGAGTGAATGCAATCTTCACCTAGTGAAATTTAAGTATGCAGTATCCTTACTTTTCATATTGCACATTTACATTGGACATGCAAAAACACTTAAGACTTCTATAACTGGTTTGTTTGTTTTCAAACATCGACAACTATCTTTTCTTCACATTTGTTTGTACAGCGGAGCAGTCAAGTCACCCCAGCACTCAGCGACATATTCCTTATCGTGACTCCGTGCTCACGTGGCTGTTGAAGGATAGTCTTGGTGGAAACTCCAAGACTATTATGATTGCTAGTGAGTACCCCTAAACCAGAGATGGAAATTTTTTTATGTTCTACACACCCAGCTGTTTCCCCTGCCATGTGCAACTATGGAGAGACTCTCAGTACTCTGCGATATGCCAGCAGAGCTAAGAACATTGTCAACAAACCAGTAGTCAATGAGGTCAGACCTAGTGTGGAGTTCTGCTGCACTCTACTCATACTATGCATGCAGGACCTTAATGTTAGATTGATCCGTGACTTGAGAGCCGAAATAAAGAGACTGAAGATGATAATCACAGATGGAAACTTTGTAAGTCAAGAGAACAATTCTTCACCGTCATGTCTAATGGGTGTATGCCGGTGCACAGGATGTGAGCCAGCCGGGCAGCTCTAAGACAGTCACTGAACTGTTTTCTGAAGATATTCAAAGAAAAGAGAATCAGGTTGAGGCATTTTACATAGATACTGTAGAAGGATCACCGTCATATCATATTTCTCCTCAGATAGCACAGCTTACCAAGACCTGGGCAGGCAAGTGGGAAGGCTATCAAAACATCATAGAGGTATATATGTGTGTTGACTACATACAATAAACTGATGTGTGTGCACTGTGTATAATATTTCAGGACTCAAACTTGGCACTGCACAGCGAGGGTATCAAGATGACGGTTGCTTCTGAGCTGCCACATTTCCTAGCAGTAGATGATGATGCTCTTGGAACCGGAGTGGTCATTTACCGCCTGCAGGTATGTACGCACCTTTAAAGCCTTGTTTCACCAAACACATGCATATACATACAGTTTCACCTTGTTTGCCATTTGTACAGAAGTCTTTCTCCACATGCAGGATGAGCATACAAGTATAGGAGCTGCTGGAAGCAGTCCTAGACCTGATATTGGTAATGCAGCTAATCATTTACCAAAAAAGCTTAGTTCCAAGTTCGGCTAGGTTCGCAATATATCGCATTGCATCGGTCGCACCGTGATTTGTCGCATCCTCCCGCGAAGATAGAAATGGATTCTATCCTCGGGGCGCAGCAACGCGGCACGGTGCGGCAGGGGTGCGACATATTGTGAACCTAGCGTAAGTCACCTTTCATTCTTGTAAAGGCATTCACCTACACGTATTATTTCTCATCGATAAACCTCTGAGTAAAATGGAGGGTCTACCTTTAATAGTATACTTGGCTTGGAGTTGGGCGTCATTGGTGGTTTAATTACCCTGGTCTCCTCCTGCAGGCTAAGTGAGAGTATACTGAGCCATAGCACAGTGGTTTGAGCTTTGTATTGTGTTGTAGATTCGAAGCCCTACCAGCTGAGTTGCCCTGGTAGCTCAGTTGATAGAGCGATCGCCTAGACTCAAGAGTGTCGTGGGTTGGAATCCCACCTAGGGCCTGTCTTCTCTTTCCTTGGAAAGAAAGCGTTGTCCTGGGTGTAGTTTATTTGTTTGTTGTGCCTTTGTCTTTCTACCTCGTAGTTTTCACATGCATGTGTGCCAGCATATGTTGTAGTCAGTACAAGGCAAAGGAGAATCTGTTAGATCAAAAGTATCCTTTGTAGGCACATCTTAAGTAAAACATCAGACATAACAGATTGTGCTTTTTCGGCGTTGAGATGCTACAGTACGTAATTATTGTTATACACCTAGCCTAGCAGTTACACATCCGCATAAGATATATGCAACTAGAGAGATTTTGGAAGCTTTAAGTGGGACCACTTATGCAAAAATCAACATTGCTATCCAGTCAGTTTAAGCCATGAAGTTTTGCAACAACTCAAATTTTCAGAACTGAATGGACTAGACATTGAGAGCCACCACTGTATTGTGGAGCATGTCAGTGGGAAGGTGTATCTGACTCCCCATGACGGCACTACCTCTGTCAACACAGACCTTGTCACTAGCAAGATCAAACTCACACACGGTAATTCATACATACTGTACGTACATTAGCTACACAAACAGTAATGTGCTACACTGTGTATACTGATGTGTGGAGAAACGGTCTTTCGTATACTACCATGCAGGTGATATTGTTCAATTTGGCTCTTCTACTGTGTTTCGCTTCAACCATCCTCAAGAGGCTGCAGAGATGAAAGAAAGAGATGAGGTTTGTAGGATTAGACTCAGCCTTTAGTTGATCAAATAAGCAATTACCTAAAAATACCTTAACGGATTGAACTATATTTTATCCAGACCCGTGCAAGAGGACGACTGCTAGAACTCTCACCAGTTTCACCGAGGTGAATGGCTGTTAGCATATGGTCCTGTAATGGTGTTATTAGTGTGTGTTTCCCCCCTGCAGAGACATGCTGGAGGAGCAGCGTCTGGCAATTGAGAGGCACTACGAAGAAAAGCTAGAGTCAATGCGCAGAGAAATGGAAAGCAGAAACCAACACGAAAAAGAACGACTTATGCAAGAACTTGAGAAGCTCAAAATCAGCTCATCAGTAGAGATCCCTAGTGTACAGGTTGGGGATGAGGGGGCACCGCTGGGATTAAAAAAAGTCATGGTGCGTGTGCCATTATGCTCGCTCGTCCATGACCGACGTTATGCAGTGATTTGGATGATGACCCACTTCCTCGGACCGCTGGACTGAACGCCACTTAGAGTCTTCGATAGAGACGCTCTACTGCCCTTGAGGCCACCCCCCCCATCATCCTTTCACCTGCATCACGGAGTCAACGGCATATCGGTTTGACGTATCTTATGCCCCC